TCATAGGTGGATGCTCAACCACTGAGCCACGCTGGCCGGAAGCCCCTTCCTACTCTTGATCTCCATATGAAGCAGCCCCACTCCCAAAAAGGCAGATTGATACGACAGATACTGAGCCTACAGCTCTGGTAGTGACCTGACCCTCCAGTGTGGACCAACCCCCTAACGGGAAGCCCCTCTGAGGGGCCAGCCCGGCTTTCTTCTGCAAGAGCCATTTAACGCAGAGGTCAGTCGGAAACACAGGTAGCCAGGTGGTGGCCACCAATGGGTTGCTTGGCTTGAGCGGTACGTACTTCAAAATACGGAGGCGGCATCGAGCAACCTGGACGTTGTGTGTCAGAGTCCAGCTTCTGGCTACTCCAGAGCACTTACGCCCTGGACCCACATGGGGTCTGAGCTCACCAGTTTGCTACAGGCCCCACTATTCCCTCTTGCCTCCCTGATTCCTCATGTCCTTGCCGGTCACGGGAGCACAGACGTATAAATCCTTTCTTTCTCTAAGCAAATGGTGGTGCAGGGACACACTCGCCCCCCCCCCCCCCCCCCCCGGCCAGGACAGAGACGGGCTCCCGGCACCACAGCGGCCTCGGGGTCTAGCACGGTGCCTGCCTCCGAGGAGATACGAAACACGTTTGTTGAATGAATGAGTGAAAAGTGCGAAGGCTGTACGAAGGCTTTTCAATCCATGTTTGGGCAAGATGCTACGGCTCTCCGACTCCAGGCTTCTTCCGAGACTGACTCAGGCAGCGGCGGGAGGAATGTGACCCCAGGAGAATGCTGGCCAGGGGGCAGCCAGCCAAGGGGACACTGGACCCGAGACCGAGACGCTGGGACGTCAGTGAATTGTCCAAGGCCACACGGCCGCTGAAGGGGCGGAGGCGACACCGAGGCCCAACCTGTGAGTCCCCCGCGCCCTGGCTGGTGTCCCCGGTTATTCATAGCAGTGATCGCGACGTCAGGGAATGTGTCTGCGTCTGCAGCCCCGCTCGGCCATGCGCTCCTCCAGGACGAAGCCCAGGGCCATTCATCAGTGTGGTCCCGGGCTTGGCGTGGGGCCCGGCCCCAGGACCCGGTTCACAAATATTTGTCCCCTGAATGGTAGCCGAGGGCTGGCTTCCCGGGCCTCGCGCCTTTCCTCCCGCGGGAGGGAACCGCTACCCCGCGGCACGCCATGACAAGGACCGCGGAAGAGACCGCATCTCCGGGGGCTCCGTGGCAGCGCCTTCTAAATTCTACCCCACGCAGGCCCTTTGACCCAGTCGTTCCTCTTCTGGGAAAGTTTCTTTACAGAAATAACCGTACAGGGACACCGAAAGGTATGACCGAGGCTGTCTGTGACAGCAACACCATGGAATCAGCCATGTCCACCCTCCGCAGGCTGGTCACACACACAGTGGGTCACCCAGCTCGTGCAATCTGACACAGCTGGAGAGAAGAGCCTGGTGGCCTACTATGTGCTGGGCTGCAGGGGTC